AAGATTAAGTTAAGAGATCAAGAATTATCAAGGGGGAAATTGGAAGTTTAGGTCTGAATTTGGTGGAGAAAAGAGGAAGGAAGAAATTTATCAATTCATCCAAATTTTGAGGTTTAATTGGAGCTTAATTAGGTAAGTTAACACCACATACATAAGAAGAGTTATTTAATTGATGTTAATTTGTGAATTTTAGCTTTAATTTTGAAAATTAAGGTTAGGGTTCTTTGTGAAATAAATTTGGAAAAAATAAAATTAAGATTGTAATTCATGCAATTAAGGTTAAAATATGTTAATTGGACTTGAAATTGAGGTTTAAACTCAAAACTTTCTAGGGTTGTTCAAGGGTTACCATTGGGCCTAAAGTACTGATTTGGGGCTTTTTAATGATTTCATGTAAATGATGTTTTAGAGCTTGATTATGATTTAATTAGGTATGAATTAATGTTTAGGAATGAAAAACCTCATTTTATTTGAAGAAAAATTCATGAAAATCCTAGGCTTACATTTGGCTCAAACTTGAAATTTTAGAGTTTGAGTTTCATTCATTCAATTCATGAATTGTTGATCAATTAGTAATTGAATAAGTATAATTTGATGAGTAGGGAGGCAAAATTTTCAAAAAATTGAAGAAAATTGCTTAATTTGGCTTAGGCCCAATTTCGACCCATTAAGGGTCAATTTGGGTTTATACATGAAATTGCTTCATAAATGTTAATTAAATTGATTCTTAGTGTTAATGGGTAGCTAATCTACTTGGTGTTAAAATTATAGGATGAAATGAGAAGAAAATAATTAGGTTTAAAGTAAGGTAAGTTTCGGCCTAAATGGATATAATTAGGGTTTAAGTATTAAATTAGTCCTTAACACTTTAATTAGTTAATGTAATCTTGGAATGAACTAATAAGATGAATAAGAATGAAAGTTTTTATTAGAACCCTAAAATTTACCTAAATTGGGTTAGGCCCAATAAGGGCCCAAAACGATAACCCTACATATACTTAAATAATCAACACTTAATTAAGTTAGCTCATGAAGATATGGCTAAATTAGGTAAAACTTGGTGTGAAGTAAATGTTAAAATCGAAAAGAAATAGTCATGGTAGGATGAACTACCATTCGGCCAAGTTAGACAATTTATGATTTGGTAATTTGATTTATGTATTTCAATACATAATTAAGTTCTTAAATGTTAAATGATGAAATTGAAATGTATATGTTTGGTGCAATAGACAATGTTGGTGATTATATGTTTTGATGTTCTATAATGTGTATGGATGTGATATCTTTGTATTGACTTGAAATCATTTTATTTAAGGTAATGTTAAAATGTCATTATACTATTGGATTCTTGCATAATCATGGTACATTGCATGATTATACATGGCATGCATTTTATGAGTCAATGCTAATTATGCATTACCAATAAAATGCATGCCTAATTTCAAGAAAATCGTTTTTAAAGTCATGAAAACGTATTTTACATCATGGTTTTTCAATAGCAATTGAAAATGTTTTTAAAAATGTGGTTTTCATGACCTTTAGGATTTTCACGAGAAAGGACTTTATGGGTTTTTCATATGATAATGGTAATGGTTCGGGGTTGGACAAGTGCGGACGTGCGTTTTTAGAGGCTCGACGAGACAAGTCCATAGACGAGTCTAGTTCGCAAGACGTATATTATGGAAACCCTAAAGTACCTAGAATGGGACATATCCAAAAAAAAAAGATTTTCGAATCGATCATAAAACATGTCATGATATGGAAAAAGAATTTGATGTGCATATACTAGTGTTTTATACATGCACGACATGCATAAGTTAGCTTACAAGGCCATTGCTCACGTAGTTCCTTGTGATATAAATAATTAAGGTACAATAGCTTACTTCTCTATCGAATTGATTTTTGTAGGGTGCACTAAACGTATATATCTTAGGTGGGGTTTCGACTTCTAGGTGGATTTGCTGCATGCTATTTTGTTTCGGTATTGGCCATTGTCCTATATTAGGATTAGTTGGATCTGTTTTATTCTACGATGAAAGTTATGAAGTAGATGGAGTAACTTTAAAGTAATGTAGTTCATCAATAAAATAATTTATTATTAGTTGACATTAAACTAGTTTTGTATGTAAATAGTACAAAATTAATTATTTAAGTATTTAATCAATATTTAACATACTTAATTTTATATTATTTTATTTTAAAAAGTTATTTTTTTCTCATCACCAATTCCGTATTTTTTACTTTTTATTTTTTAAAATAAAAAATTAAAAAACTTAAAAAATGATAAAAATATTAAATTATAAGAAAATTTGGAATTTAAGAATTGAATAATTAGTTTTTGAAACAAAGAATTAATTAATTTTCTTTTCGAAATTACGGGGAGTAATTTATAATTTACTCTTAAATAACACAAGACGCTTTTTGTCATTTTGTGGGCTGTGGGGGCACCATTGAAATATTAAGCTGGACGTGTCGTTCTGGGCTTTGATGATATTAAATAAAAATTCTACCCATACATATTGTTATTTATTTATTTTTATGATAAGGAATTCCAGCAAATATTTTTCGAGTACAGAAGAGATAAACTCCGAACAGATATATAATAAACTTGTTGTAACTGTAAATTGAAATGGAATCTAAAAGCGATAGCAGTGATGGTCAACAAGATTTATTTATTTATTTTTTTTAAAAGAAGGCTTTTTACGTATTTGTGGAAAGTGAAATTCTTATCTCATCTTTTAATCAAGGAATCATTTCTTTTATAAAAATTGAGAGTCAAATTGAATGCACTCGGCAATAAATTAAAGAAAACATTTAGTTAGTATCAGCTAAGCTCTAATGTCATATTTGCTAACAAACCACTGATTGCAACAGCTCCGATCCTTACGTAAGTTGGATGTGTGATTTTGAGTCAGTCTTAGGGCTTCAGCTAGTGCAGGAAGATGACGGTGATCATTTATTCCAAATAAAATGATTTGTCTTGATCTGATCTGCCAATAGAAATTTCAGAAACTAAAGCATATTCCATAGGTTTTCTAACTCCCAATGCGTCCAAAAATATAAAGTAAAGACACTCGTGGGACGACGGAAATGGCAGGAGGCATTTTATAAGGTCTAAGATGCTCATATCGGCAACTGTGTATTATTGACCATCTATTAAATAATAATAATAATAATTGATCAAAAACATAAATTTACTATTCATTATACTATTTTAAATATTATTCATACAGATTCATATGTATTATTTATTTAAATTTAGATGTGTTATTTTATTTACTATAAAATGATATTTTTGTAGTTTTCAAACATTTTTAAGACATTTATTAAGAAAATTTTCACAACATTATAATTTGATCTTTTTTAAATATTATTTTTTTAATCCGTAAATTATTTTCTTTGATTTTGGTTTCACTTTTTTTTATTTTATTTTGATCATTTTAGTCCTTAATTCTTTTTTCTTTGATTTTTTTAATTAAAAATTTTAAGGCAAAAGATTTTTAGAGAAAAAATTACAGAATAAGTTTTTAGCTAAAACTATGGATAGAGATAAATAAATGATATTTTTAATAAAAAAATTATGAAAATATAAAGAATAATTAATCAAATACAAAATTTTGATTAAAAAATGATAAAATTAAATGAATTTTTTATTCAGTTTTAATTTGATATATTTTGATGGACATACAATATAATATGAGATATCAAAATGAAATAATTTTTTAAAAATAATTTGATGTTTTTTGTCTAACCAACAACATAGTGCGGATAAAAAAAAATAGTGTCACTCTAATCTAATTCTATTGGGTAATCTCAAATATTGTTCAAAGCCATGCCATAATTATAATCCATCCTTTATATTATTTCCTTTGTCATTTCTATCTATCAAGTTGCCAACTGGTGAACATTAGCATCAATGTCAAAAAATAATAATTGATTGATCAGTTTAAATGAAAAATAAATAAATAAATAAAATTATTCCTTTATTCTTTTGCATGAATTATTGTTTTTGTGATTTTTGTTTTTAGGAAAACTCTTAAGTAATTTTACCTTTGTTTGTGTGTATATTACTCAATTTTATTTCAACATTTTTTTATTTGTTCAATTAAATTTTGTATTCTTTAAAATTGTTCAATTATTTCTTTGGGTTTTTAAATTTATCAAATTGACGCAATTTCTAATTTTTATCAATTTTGATTCTACCGTGAACATGAATATGATATTATTAAATATTTTTATGAAATGATTTTCTATATTCGTGTAAGATTTATTTTATCAAATAAATTGTCTTATACATATAAATTGATATATTGATCAATTTTCTTAAAAAAAAATAAATCTAAAACAATTTATGTAATGACGTACGGTCCATATAAATATAAAAAATATCTCATAATGAAAAGTATTTAGTTAACACATAATTAATATGCACAGTTAATGTTGAGATTTAAGTAGTTATTCATCAATTGAACAAATTCAAAAACTATAAAAAGTAATTGATCAAGTTAAAAATACAATAATAAAAATAAATAATTGACATAAATATTGAGATAAATTTAAGAATTTTGTTTTTGTATTGTAGATTGAATATTCGACTCGTAATTCAATGTGGGATTTTGTTCCCGCAATTTGTTAAAGAAGGCGGGTGGTACTTGCTATTGATATTATCAAAAATTAGCAAAAAAAAAAAAAAAAAAAAAACCAAAAACAGATTAAGTTTATTTTGAAAAAGGTACATATATCGTATATGAGTGGTCTCTCAAGTCTTTTACTTACTTTCTTTCTTTTATTAAAATGTTAAAATTAACATAAGTTATTTTTTAAGCAGTTCATTATTCATGTACTAAAATGCCATTTAAATTCTTCAAAATTTCTTAAAACTAAAGTATTATTTTAATGTTTAGGGGCCTCTATAAATACGACCCCTGACTATTTATGGCCCGTAGATTGTACATCATTTCAACCCCCTTCTTGTACACAGGTGGTAGCAAGCGGGAGAAATGGCATCTTCATCGCATTTGGCTTTTCAAGTGAAGTGTTGTATACAGAGGCCTTCTGTTTCAGACAATTTTCATAATTTGAAAACTTCACTCTCTTCTTTTAGCAAGGTAAGTTTCTCTAGATCTCCATGAGCTAATTAAGGTTTTTCCTGAAGCAAGCTCTTTGACATGAATCATATATTGATATATAAGATATTCCAGCTCATGATTTCACCTATTAATACTGACATACTGTTCTCATCCCCCATGAGCAGCCATTCTTCGTAGGGTTGGAACAACTTTCTATGCAAATTGATGTTTCGAAAACCGTCAAGGACACTTGTTTGAGATTACTGGATGTTTTTGTTGATTCCATGTTCGAGTTTGTTGACCAGCCATTGCTCCCCTCTCAGGTATACGTAAATGTGAATCTGCGTCCATTGCTAGATAACTTGATTACAATTAATGCATGCACCTGCAGAGAAACTTTGCTCCAGTTGATGAACTACAGGAAGCTGTTGTTGTCACCAGCATCGAAGGAAAAGTTCCAAGTGATTTCCCAGAGGGTGTCTATATAAGAAATGGTCCGTTTTCTTGATTATTTTATCCTCATTGTGTGCCTGAAATTCGATATATATTGTTATTCAAGCCTAAATAATCCAATAAAAGAAATGTCATTGCTGAGGACAACTATTGGACAGTTGCTTTGGAATTTGGTTCGTGGAATACATCCCTATAATAGCATCAAACATCGGAAGACGTTAACATAATTAAAAAACACATAGAGATTGCGTTGCTTCAGTCAAGAACACTTGCTGTTTTTGTATGGTATTATTTGGGTTTTAGGTAATATCTAATGACTTCAAAGTCAGGCCTACTAGTTTGATTTATCCTTTAATTTTTCTCTTTTTTGGGAGGTAAAAAATGAGGGAATGCACCAGCCGGGAATCGAACCCGCGTCTGTATTTATTTGTTTATGGAAGAGGAGGTGCCCCTCCAGACCTCCACTAGTCTCCGAATCTCCTACATACCCCATCTTTTCAGATTTGAAAGGATACCCAGATTGGAAATTTCCAAGTTCTAGTTGTTTTCTGTCCTCTTGAAAACATACTTTAAAGATCTTTTCTTACAACATTATGAATACGACTGGACCATTTAACCTTGTTTTTTTTGTTTGTTTTTCCAAAGCATAAACTGTTGACTTAGTTATGAGTAAGTAAAAACTGCTGCTGATATATGGTTACCTAGGTCTTTTATTTTCTTGTTTTTAGCTCATTTTTTTGGTGCTTGTTAAAATAAATTTGCTCACTTTTTATTATTAATTAATTGTTGATTGTATAACTATATATACATATATTTAATAAAAGTTGGAAGTAAGCAAATTGTTAACATCATGATGATCAATGAATTTGAAATGTCTATTAATCTAATTTTTAACTCTTATAATTTCCCTATCTTACTCTCTGGAGGTTTTTTGGTGTTGTAAGTTTCCAATCTTCGGTTAAAAGGGCAAAAATTCTCCCTTTTACAAAGAGTACATTTCAAAGAGCCTGGAATAAGAGTAGTGTTCTCTACCAGTTTTCTTCTCATATATGTATGCATATGTACATATGTATATATGTATGCATATGTATATATGTATATTTATGTATGGATGAATAAATCTGCTAACTTTGTAAGTCCTTGTTTTTACACATAAAAGACTGATGATATTATTTAGATGTTGAAAAATATGTATATTGCAGGACCAAATCCTCTTTTTGGAGGACTAAAATCAACTGTATCAATGTTTGGACGGTCAAGTCACATTTGGGTCGAAGGAGAAGGGATGCTTCATGCTTTGTATTTCGATAAAGCTAGTGATGGAAGCTGGACAGTCACCTACAACAACAAATATGTCGAAACCGAAACATTCAAGTTAGAAAAACAAAGTAACAAGCCATCTTTTCTTCCTGCAATAGAAGGCACTTCCCCAGCAATATTATCAGCTTACTTGCTAAATTTGGTGGGTGGGCATATATATGCAAAAAACAAATATTTTTTTTAAATCATGTACCCTGGTGCAAATTAAAATAGGACTAAAATTAATTGCTGAAGGCTTTATGGCTATGGCTTATTAGCTGATCTTGTCATCCTAATTGGATATACAGTTGCGATTTGGCAAAATTAACAAGTACATTAGCAACACCAACGTTTTTGAGCATTCAGGGAAGTACTACTCAGTTGCTGAAAATCACGTGCCTCAAGAAATTGACATCTTCACACTTGACACTTCAGGAAATTGGGATGTCAATGGAGCTTGGAATCGGCCTTTTACCAGCCATCCCAAGGTTCCTGTCCTTCCATATGACTTGAAATGTTAAGATAACATATTCCTTTCTGTCTAAATAGCTTCTTTTTCTTTTTCTTCTTTTTTTACTCGTTGCAGAGAGCCCCAGAAACAGGGGAGCTGGTTATAATGGGGGTGGATGCAAGAAAACCTTTCGTGGAACTAGGAATAGTCTCAGGTATATGCATTTCAATTAGAACAGTACTGAAAACATATTTTGCTTAATGAATTTTTTTGAAAGCCTTTTGACATTCTCTATGTACTAATTTAACTTCAAAATGTTCAGCTGATGGAAAGAGATTAGTTCATAAAGTTGATCTCAAATTCAATAGGTGCTCCCTTTCTCATGACATAGGAGTTACACAGAGGTAAATTATTATCCGTTATCTTGTTGTTCTGAAAACATGGACATTATAAGTGGAAATTAAAGCTGTATAGATCAAGATGAATTTGTGTTTGCAGGTACAATGTGATCATGGATTTTCCACTCACTATAGACCTACACAGACTCCTTAAAGGCGGCCCGTGAGTACTAAACACCCTTCTGTACTTCATGTGTACTGTACATGACATGAACACCGAGCTTGTAATATCTGTTATGGACCCTGATGTGTGTAAATATAGGTTAATAAAATTTAACCAGTCAGAATATGCAAGAATTGGAATCATGCCTCGCTATGGCGATGCAGAATCAATCAAGTGGTTTCATGTGGCATCCAATTGCACATTTCACCTTCTTAATTGTTTTGAGGATGGTGATCAGGTATGCTAATTAGTGGAAACATTATATAAATTATTTATGTCATTTAAGGCCACAACTTGGTTATAACCTTTTTAGGTTAATTCTGATAAATAAATGTGATTTTATGAGGTTGAACAGATTGTTATAAGGGCATGTAGGGCTCTTGATTCAATCATACCAGGACCTGATATGGGTGTGAATAAATTTGAGTGGTTTTCAAGTAGGCTTAAGTATGTAGAATCAGTTGACGAGTATACTAATTCAGAGGAAGGATCGCTTTTTACTCGTTGCTACGAGTGGAGATTAAATATGGAAACTGAAGATGTTAAGGAAAGATACCTGACAGGAACTGAATTCTCTATGGATTTTCCAATGATCAATGGAGATTTTACTGGAGTTAAAAATAAATATGGCTATGCCCAAGTTATTGATTCCAGTGCTAGCTCTGAATCAGGTGATTGATTATTAATAACATTTTGTTTTCTATAGAAATCTACTATATTCCTGATGATTAATTTACTAACACTTAACATCAGGTATGGCTAAATATGGAAGTCTAGCAAAACTATACTTTGAAGAGCCAGAAACTGATAAAACCAATTCGGTAATTAATTGCGCTGTTATGTGTTATTAACCTTCTTCTGTAACACTTCCAAATTTTTACTGATACTATTTTGGTTCCGTGAACTAGAAAGAGGACCAATCTGAAGAGCTGATAAAGGTGGAATACCATAAATTTGAGCATAATACTTTCTGCACTGGAGCTGCCTTTGTTCCTAAACTAGGAAGTCAAGAAGAAGATAATGGTTGGATCATCACTTTTGTCCACAATGAAGATACAAAAATGTCTAAAGTAAGTCAATCTTGCTTTCTGTAAGTAATAATCATAGTATTGGATGAGTAAATATATCTAATGTATTTGTTTTACTTCTTTATAGGCTTATATAATTGACACAAAAAAGTTCACCAGTGAGCCACTTGCCAAAATAGCATTGCCTTGCAGAGTCCCATATGGATTTCATGGAGCTTTCATGATGCAAAGAGTAAGCAAAATAAAGCTTCCGTAGGAAGCTTAAGCAAGTTGAACAAAAAATGTTAAGTCTCTGTTGCCCTCTGTTTTGAAACTTGAAAACAGAGGATGTAGAAAAGTTTCTTAGATTCAAAACAAAGCAAAAGTCTGTATATAATATCTCTAAAGTTGCTCAAGAGTTTTCCAACTCTTGACATATATAGGACTCATAATATTACCCTAAAAGACTTTAAAGAATAGTTAAAGCTAGAGGTAAATACAGAAACTAAGATATGAAACAAATGCTGTAATTTTAGTTGCCTCCTCTTCAAGGACTCTAGGTGATCCAGAGCCCCCAGTCTAATGCCCTTGTCAGTCCCCCTACTTGAAAAGAACTCAAACTCGAGTTATCTTGTGCATTTGGATATAACGGTTGAAGAACAAAATGGATAAATGTCTACCACATTAAATGTTTTGGAAATGCCCATTGTGTTTGACATGTCCACAATATTTGCGTTATCATTGATTTTCTCAAACACCTTGTAAGGACCATGTTTCTTAGGTTGTAGCTCACTATAGGTATCCACTGGAAACCTCCATTTGCACAGGAATGCCATCACTAACTTTAAAGACTTACTTTCGACAATGTTGGTCAGCTGCCTTTTTATACTTAACATTAGCCTTCTTCAAGTTCTGTCGTACCTTATTTGAAATTTGAATAGCTTGCCATTGGTCTGCCAGGTTCTCCATAGCCATGCTAGCTCCATGGGTACGAGGAAGCTTGATCAATCAAAAGCATGATTATAACCCCCGTAAAAACCTTTATCCGTAACGCGACGTGTATTAGAATAATTCTATATATATGTATATTAAGAGTAAGTATAATTCTCATTTCATCATGATAAATTAATGCTTGAAATATGTGATTTATATTAAATTAAAGTTATTGTGCTTAAGAATAATGGCTTAATTATTAAAGAAATCAAATATGCAAAATCAATGTTTTAAGGACTATATTCTGCTCGAGTTTTGTGTGAATTATTTGAGCACTTTAGGGTGCTTTTTGGATAAATCTTAAAGAATGAAAGTTGTTCATCTATGTGTTGAAGATAACTTTATAAAATTTTATAATTGTTGGACCTATACATTAAGAGTTATATCCATTATGGTGAGGGTTGTTCCGAAATGCATTCTGCTGGAATTTCAGGAGAAGAATTTGCTCGAATCTTGTGAGATTTATTTGATGATATTAGATTGATATTTGAGAAAAACTTAAAGAATAAAGGTTGTTTGTCTATATGTTTACTAGCTCTCTATAACATTTCATAATTTTTGGATATATATAGAAAGATTTATGCACGTTTTAGTATAGATGGGTTAGGAGGTAACACTATTGGAATTTTAGGGAAAAAGAAATTCTGAATTTTAAAAATGGAAATTTCCGAATTTTTATGAAAGAAAGTAGTTTTAGTTACTTGAATTAAGTTAACTAATGATTTTAATTAGTCTAAATTTTATATAGACACCTAAGCAAATGAAATAAATGAATTTAATGCCAACTCACCCATTATGGATTCCAAAGCGACCGACTTTTCTCATGACTCATCCATAACTTTTACACCTTGTCCCATTAATTTCTAACACTTGTAGCTGAATTAAAGTAAGTGTGTGTATATATATATATATATATATATATAGCAAGTTTTAAAATGGGAGAAAAATTTTAGCAACCCGTAAGTACCAAAAATTGGGAGAGAAAAGGCAAGAAAGAAAAGAAAGGAAGAAAAACGTGAGGAGAGAAAGGAAAGGAAAGAAAAAGAGAAAGGGAAAAAGAAAAGGAAAAGAGCTAAGGAAATTCTAATCAAACCTAAAAGAGGTAAGTAGGTTTCATTTTTTTTGGTTGATTAATGTCTTAAATTATTTTTTTTAAGTTATTTTGTTAGTGTTTATTTCATGGGTTGTAATAATTTTCAATGGTTATATGCTTGATGCTTGGGATAAATCTATGTATGGATGCCTTGTTGTGATGATTTATGATGTTATGATGTTTTGAAAAATGTCCAAGTATGTGGTGATGGGTTGGATTGAACTTGGACTAAATTTAAGTGAACTAAAACATGTTTAAAGTTGGCTTGGAATGAACTAATAAATTAGTGTTGATAAGGAGTAAATTCTATCCGAATGTTGGGGTGTATGTTCAAGGATTTTAGATCGATTTCTAAGTGAAACTTAAAGCATAAAAGTTGTTCATCTATGTTTCAAATAAATTCCTTTAAAATTTCTTGGTCATTGGATTTGTGTACAAAGCGGTATACCCTATTTAGTATGAATAGCTCTAGACAAACTACTATTAGGCAGATTGCTCCCTAAGTTTCAAAAATTTGTAATTAATTGTGTACTTGGTATTTAGATCTAATTTTTGGATATTTTATAAATAAATATGTCTAGTATCTAAAATAAAATGAGTAAGATTTAATTATGTTCTGAAATTAGAAAATTATTTACTCGATTAGAAGTTGTCCGGTAATAAACCCTAAAACCAAAAAAAAAATTAGACTTGGACAAAATTAATAGGTTTAGAATAAAATAAATGAGCTTGGACTAAATAAAATTGAATTAAATAGAGTCAATGGACCTAGGATAAAGTTAATGGGCTCGGATTAAAGTAAATGGACTTAGACCTTCTTTTAAATATTAATGAAACTAATGAACAATATTAATGAGCGGAGATTGTGTTCCCGCTTGTGGGTATCATGATTGATAAGTGAGCAATGGATAAATTCCGAGTGTGGGTTGAACCATGAGTATGGCATGAGAATGAAGGGTTGATACCCGAATTTAGTTTAATGTGATTAAATATGTCATCACGTGCATCATGTGCATAGTGGGTGGTTTAAGACAAGTCAATTGATTGAGAAATGGTTTATACATCTAGGTTTGATAACCTAACCGGAATAAATGGGTATTAGTAGTCCAAGTACTCCAAGTCGTGTGCTCGCACTATTAGACGATGGATTTTCGCTAATAGTAGTTACAACGAGTGATAATTCCGTTGTAGCGAGAAGATGATCCGAGGATCATCCGAATGAAATCAAGTCGTTTGCTTGCACTCGTTAGACGATTGATTCCCGCTAACGGTAATTACAACGAGGGATAATTCCGTTGTAGCAGAAGGTGATCCGCGGACCACCCGGATGATAAATAGAGTAGATCGGCTAATACCTGTGGTACCCGAGATTAAAATTTATGAGTATGGTGGGAAGTCAAAATAACATTGCATATCACGTGCATCACCCCGCTTACCGAGCTTCGGCTCACCCCGTTGTTATTTTTTTTATGTCTTGACGGAAAAAGGACAAGTTGGTACGGATGCGGCGGGCTCCTCCTAACCGGCTCATGTGAGGCACTATATATTAGTTTTTATTTTGTCCGTAAATTTGGGGTATGGAGTTCGTGAGAAATTGAATATTATCTCGTGATGTTTTATTAATGTATTTAATTATATTATGTAAATTTTATCTTAAGGAGTTATATATGTAATATACTCGTTAAAGTTCTAAGAATATCATAAGAAAACTACTTAGAGTTTAGGGTATGTCGGCGTAACGCGCTTCATCCAGACACTTACTTGTGTAGTAGAAATATGACTCAGGGCGAGGGCGTTACAATGATGTAGTGGTGACATGTACACAATAGAAAATAGAGATTTCCCGGTGGCAATATGAACTCGCATCTGTCTCCACAAATGCTTCGAATCAAGTTGTCGAAAGTCCCGTTTACTAGTTTAGCTTGTCCATCCGTCCCCGGGTGAGCCATACTCTTGAAATGAATCCGTTAAGTTATAAAGACCAATGTGAATACACCTTTTAAGCCTTTTACATCCCGTCGTTTATAAACTAAAGCTATAGCCTGTATTATGTGCTTATAAAAGTCTTTTCGATCAAAGATTACTTATTTGTGTTAATGAGTTTTAGCTTCAAATGATAAGAAGAAAAATATTTTTGAATAAAACTTGATCGGTTGTTGCATTACAAACCATCATTTATGCTATTAAATCATGATTTTTCATCGAGCTAAGAAAGAAATAAATCAAGTCTTTCTACGCAAGACATCTATTTGAGCTAAACTTGCTTTGAAACTCTTTAAATTTTCAAAATCCATTTGAGCATGTCGAGCTCTATGAGCCAATTTTTGATAAATCACCTTCCAAAAGAGGATTTTGTTTCAAAACTTTTATATGATCCGAATACATTTTGTCTCGTCTAGCCTAAAGAAGAATCACCTTATGGGTTAAATCATGACATACCAAGTGAATCAAACATCTTTTTGAATGAGATTGCTTTCTTATGAACATCTCAATGATTTCTTTTAAATAATTTAACTTGATTTAAAGAAAATAATTCAAACATATGATTTAGTTTGGGAAAATCAAAACAAATAAAAATGATTTTCCAAGAATGCAATGAAATTTCAAAGACTAATTTGCAAAATCAAGTGCAAACATAAAACGAAGATGAATTATGAATAATGATAGTAGAAGGAAGACGATAAAAAAACAATCATTATCGATACTTAAGGGCATGTGGCACAATCAATTTGATATTTGCAAATGTCAAAGATGAGTTGAACATGAGCAATGACAATAAGAAGTGGATCATAAATGAATGATCGCTATCGACGCTTGGGGGTAAGCTATGATGAGTTCAATGATTCAAATGCAATCATGAATTATGATTTATAAAGCTTAAAATGTTTAGAGAAAGTTGTCATCAAATGGCAAACTTAAGCCTATTGATAGCCCAAGTGTAACAAGACCAACCATGAGTAACTAGAGTCAATAAGAGGAAAGAATAAGAATTGAGAAATTTGACATTCGAACATCGATAGAAGTAACCATAAAATGGCTAAACTTGAAGACAAAAGAGCTTTGTTAAACAAACCAAATGTTGATATCTCAAAGCTTATAGAGTTCAATGCTCGTTGTGAGAAATCCATTTGAAAGAAGAAGATTGAGCTTTCTAAGTGTGATTTATGTTTTTTACGTAAAAAATATTATTTTGCAATCTTATTATAGCATAGGTGTAAATATGGTCATCTCTCAATTGGCCTTATTTTATAAAAAACTTTTTGGGTATCCAACTTATTGCTTGAAAGACTATAAGTCACCCTAGAAAATAGATTGTAGGGGTAGGTCGTCCAAAAAATAGATCGTAAAGATAAGTCGTCTTGAACAATAGATATTAAGGGCAAATCACCTTGAACAATAGACCATGAAAGTAGGTCGTCTTAAACTATATGTCTATAGAACAATGTGTGTTTTTTTGTTTCATCGTTACTTGTGTTTTGCTTGTTTTTATTTTTATTTTTTTATAAAGCTTTTTATGCAAATTCAAAGAATGGTCTTTCAATGACTTTGCGACAAAATCATTGTAAAGAAGAGATAAGTGTTATCACCTAATTTTTTAGGCATTTTCTCTTACAATTATTTTTTAAAAAATAAAAAATATCAATATTGAATATTCTTTTTTTAATTCATTTTATTTTGCAAAATCTTACCTTTGTTTTAGGATTTTTAGGAATTTGATGAATTTTGTGGGTTTTGATCGATTAAAAAAAAGAAAAAAGAAAAAACAAGAGGAAGCCAAAAAAATTAAAGTTGTGGGTCTAATTAAAAGAAACGTGGAAAAATAAAAACAAAAACAAAAACAAAAAATCAATTGGGGTTTTAATTGGAAAGAATTCCAATAAAAATAGGAATTGGATAGAAAACAAAGAGAGAAGATTTCAAATTAGGAAAAGAAAAATAAGGAAGGAAAAGTTAGGTTTTTCATCTAAATCATAACAACCCTACTATATAATGATCTCTTCTTCTCTCTCCTTTAGGAAGGGACTCATTTTTTTTTTTTTTTCACAAGAGGAAATAAAGCCATACACTCATGTTTCTATCAAGGAATCTCCCTAGCCACCATGACAAAAACCACCACAAAGCACCATTAAAACCTATCTTCTCCTCCACCCGAAATCCAACCAACAAGCTCACCATAAACCTCTCGGATAATAGCCCATTCCGTCGGCCAAAACCTATAGAAAACCATCAAAAATTGTCAACCAAGCTCTCTTCCATTATGTTGCCACTGCTACCACCTTTGTCTAGCAGACAACCACTAATTCCAACATCCATATTCCGATGGAAAACCTCCCTAAACAGCGTTTATTCTCGACCAAGATATCCCACATGGTTGCTGCAACTCTAGTAAGTTTCCTTACTTTTCCAGGTAGTGTTCTTCATCGTTTCCAACAACGAATTTAGTAGCTTTAACAACAATGATGGTGATAGCATCCTCTAACCCTTCCTTTCGTGATTTCTAGTAGTGAAACACCATTTTCGATTGATGGTTCCAACTCGTAGTCCATGATAGATTATGCTCAACAACATTTTGGTTTGTTCCCTTTTCTCTAACACCTTTCCTACCCATTTCTAGCCGTATGTCCTAACTACAATTAACGATAGCTTCCTCACCAACAACCTTTTGATTTTTCTAGCTTCAAAGGAAAGCCGCATAACACACTTCTTCAACCAATTTTCCCTCTCCAATTGATAATATAAATTGTCTCTATCAAAGATTGAAAAAAGTGGTTGAGACAAACGAAAGAGAAATCGGCTATTTGAATTGCTTAACCTTCTTTCTCTCAAGTTGATAATACAAATTATTTTCATCAAAGGGTAAAAAAAGAGGTAAATTCATTGTGGAATTAAGAGTTGCTTTTGACATACTTTGGGAATTTATTTGGTTGTTTCGACCAACAAGGTAAGCTCCCACTACCTCTATCTTGCATTTGCATTCTTGTTAAAGCCAAATGCATTGAGATTGAATTTATAAATGAATGCGTTGTGTATGGATATTATATGATATTCAAAATGTGATTTAGATACACCTTCATGTATAGAACCCGAAAGGGTCGGAGATCTATGGGACTTATAAGATCGATATTCAACGTTATGCGATGAAGCTAAAAGGACTAGACATGGGCTTTAATTTTAATAGTTTATTTGGAATGAGTGCCGGTCCCAATGTGCATTTGAGAATAATGTTGCTCTTGTGATATAAGTGTTTCAATGCAATATTCATACCATGTTTGCTTGTGTGGTTTAGCTTTTGTGATGTGGTGTGAATATGTTTATTTGGTTGAAGTTAACTCTATGATTTAACACCAAGGTTGTGACCTATTAATTATGATGTGTGAATATAACAAATTTGCTAGGATTAGCTTTGAAAGTTAGCACCACATTTGTGTCGAATCAAACATGATATTTGATGTGTATGACATAAATCTTAGGATAGATTGCCCGAATAATAAACTCTAGGAATATGTCACCAATTACTCAATTGTCACAATAAATTAATTCACTTAAATAGGCATAAGATCATAACATATTAAGACTAGACTTTTAGTTACACATGCATGTTGAGGTAGGATGAGGTGGTGGTGATCTTGACATTTTCTACTTGTAATCAATCTCTTACCTAGATTTCTGTATAGTCTAGTTATTTTTTGGGTTTCTTAGTTTCTCCGATGCTAGATGGCAACTTCTTTCTTAATTCCCTATCCTTCCTAAAGAGCCTATTGTTGGACGTTTCACATGGCGTTTCTGTCCCCGTGACATCGGTTATAAGAAAATCAATATATTTTAAGAATTAAATCAGAAAATATATTAATACTTCACTCATTTATGTATGCGAAAAAAACATTAATCATGTAAAAAGTACATACCACAAAATCTAGTTATTAAAAAAAACAACAATAACCAGAATTGTTGCTACATTTTTTTTTTTTTTTGGGTTGATATGCTGCGTTTCATTGCTGTATTGTCTGTAACTGGTTTGCCGCTATACATAGCCATCTCGAGTCATCCAAACAATCTTCTGATGCTTCGTATGAAAAAACGCCTTATTTGTTCTAAAATGGATAGTTTCTCTTTCTTGTGTAGCTTTTTATTTCTTTTTCTAACTGATCGTCCCATCTGTTTCTTTGGAGTCCTCGAGTTGGATTTAGAAATTGCATTTGCTCGAGCTTTAGGAAAAGCATTCCCTGATGTTTTCACTTGGGCAACTTTTTTGAACCTTGAATCTTGTTGTTCTTCTTGGTGATCTTTAATGGTATATCCATCTTCAATTATCTTTTCATCTTCCGTTCTCCTTCTCCGTGACATGTTCTTTTCAGAGCGAATTTCTTTCAATCTTGTTGACGCTAAGTTTCGGCTTGCTTCAGCTGCAAACTTCTGCTCCATGGACACAGAAATCCGCCAGTTAGCAAGCGATGTCCCTTCTTTGGCTCTTCGCTTTAAGGAAAGATATTCTTCTTCACTGAGTTGAACAGTGCTATTCCCTGTTTCCGAACTCTTGATGTGTCCTCGTGCTTCTGCTGCTGATTCTCCAAAAGCTTCTGATTCTACCTCCACTGCTCGAAGTGTTATTTTCAACGTTCTTAGAGTCTGCCTCCTCAACCTCAGGACTTGTGTCAGTTTTGATCTCTCTCGGTGCTCTTCTTCTGTGTCCAGCATGATTCTTTCCAATTCTTCACGCGATTGATCCAAAGCCTGAGTTATTTCGTTGGTCATCTTTGCCACCTTGATTTCTTCTTCCATTTTGGATTGGATGCCTACATTAGTGGCCTCAAGCTGTGACTCAAGCTCCGAGATTACAATATTGGACATAGATGCTTGGTTTTTAGCACTTGCAAGACCTGATTGTAGTTTTTCAAGCTCGTCGATGAGAGGCCTGGAATCTAACCATGATTGCATAGCTTTGTCTTTTGATTTCTGTAGTGCTTCATTCATTTTAGTTAGTTCTTCCATCTTTGCCTGCATTATATCGCCGTGGTGCTCCTCTAAATCTCTTGTTTTGTGCCTGGAGCTCTCTCTTTTTTCTTTTTCATATGCTTCCATTTTGCTTTCACAAGCTACTGTGTTTCAGACTTCTTAAAAGTGATCTATTCTCTCATTTTGTTTCTAAGTTTATAATTTAAAACACAGTAGCGCTGTTGATATAGGCATGATCACTGGCAGTATTCTGAAAAAACGTAGGCGCTTCGTGTACAAGAGAAGGCTAATTTAAACTCCTAGGCATGTTTTCTTTGTTCTTGCCGGTCATCAAGTCAAGAAATGTCCTATCTGCTGGTTTTGCATGCAAGTCGTTCGGCAGGAGCAGTTAAAAGTTGTACATTTTGTGCCAGAGGCTGTCATGTTATGTGGATTATCACCAAGTTACACCTGCTCTGCATCATCTCTTGGCTCTCGCTTTTTGTAGGGTAGTGTTACCTAGGTAAGTGATTGAATTGGCTAAGAATTCGCCAACCAGCCCAGAAAAAATTAATGCGTTGTGTGCTTTGATAGAAAAGGGCTTAGAATTTATAGAGCAGTACGAGCGCAGTAGAAGATGATAAAAACTGTCGGTCCGATTTTGAGGTTTCTTGAGTCTAATTCGATGCCAAACGAACTAGCGAATACTGTTTAGACCCTCAAAATCGACTTTTACCGTTTTTCAGAATTTTCCTATTTTTTTTGGATTTTTATGTTTGTTTTCCTTTTGAATTGGTTTAAGGTTTTTTTTAGATTTTTTTCTATTTATATACAACTTGGAGGGAAAAAAATGTAACTTTCTTTGATAAATAAAAATTTATGAGAGAGTATCTCAAGTTTATCCTAATTTTTGACTTGTTTTTTAATCAACAGGATTTGAAATCTATTTTCTAGTATTTATGCACAATTCAAAATGTTATAATAGACAGACATTTAAATTTCAAATCATCGATATTTATTTATTTATTTATTAAGTTTTCTCTACGTTGGATAGATACTGTCTTCTTTTGCATTTTCCATCTCCCATTAATTTGAAAGCAAATATTTCACATTTCGTTACACATTGGTATCTTCCGGATGCTACTTGGCTTTTAGGAGTTGGAACAAGTTCTCCCCATCATAGTCGTGGATAAATACTTGTCTCATTGCTGGTTCCGTTCACATATCCATATTGTTTTTTTGAACTACAAAAGCTCTCTTGTTGGTCCAGGGTATCAGGGATAACTGATGAGTACACTACACCATTGTAAATTCTTCAATCGTGTTCTTTATGGGAACAAATTGCTGTTCGCAAATTACTATTGAACAGGTACATGTGAGGCTTGTTGGATGTAAATTTCATGATAGAGAAAAATTGACTAAAGAATAAAGGCATCGAAATTCAATCTAAAAATCTAGATAGGACTGTCCGCTTGTGTAAAGTCGATTTACACACACACACAGCTGTAATGAATCAAAAAGAATAATTCCTTTTGGATCAATATGAAACAACCCTACATGATCTTAATATATGAAAATATGAACGAGATCGTCTCATACATACTTTTGCAAAGCAATGATTCCTCCAGTAAATTTTTGTTGTTTTTCGATTCCGCATACCCGCATTACAAAACAACAATTAGATAACTCGTTCCGTTTTTAATTCTTTTTAACTCTCACATAAATAAATAAAATTAGAGCTTGTTTCACATCTATTTATGAAAAAGAGCTTTTGATTTTAGCTATAATTTAAAAGGTTTTTTTAATATATATATATATATATATATAACTAATTTATTTTAAAAATAAGTTCAAATAATTTTAATTAAATTAGAAATATTTAGTAAAAATGATTCAAAGTAATTTTTTTTATTTGTTGATTCATCAAAAGGTTTGTTGGGTATTGCGTGATAAGTTGCTCTCTTCTATTATATATTAATTAAATAGATTCAAGCCATTAAGGTTTTATTTGTTTGACGAGAAAATAAATTTCAATAGGAAAAATAATTCTGGAGAAGTTATTTTTCAAAAAGTTATGTTTCAAAAAAATATTTTTTAATGTTTGAGAATTACATAAAAAAACTGTTGAAAAATATATATTTTAACGTTTGTTTAATATAGAAAACTAAAATACAAAAATAAGCTGTAATTGTTACATCAACAAATTTTAAGAAAACTTCAATAAGGTATATTCACAATCTTATAATATAAGATGCATTTAGAAAAATTTAATAAATTTTTATAAATACGACTCCAAGATTTAAATTCAAAAAAGCAAAAATTAAAATGTAAATTTTTAACCATCAAACCAATTCATTAAAACTACTTAGGACAAAATTAAGTCAATATTCACATTTAGTAAAAAAAATTCTAAGTAATCCTAGCATTGTTATTTTGGTAACTCAATTAAGAATTTATTTTCTTTTTTTCTTTTTGAAAATTGAACTGATAATTTAGTTTAAAAATAGTTTTATAAATTATTATTTATCATTTGTAGATAATTATTCATTTAGTTTCAAAAGATTAATATACGAATAATTTGTAACCAATTATTGATCGCAATTACCAACAAAATTTTACAACTGATTAAAATTAGTCACAAATTATTGATTTAGTTGCAAATGAATAGTATTGGGAAAATGATGTATTTATTAATGAATTAATTAGTTTTAAATTTTTCATAAATAATTGCAGTCATGTAATAATCATTTTCAATTATTTAAGTATAATTTAGGTGGTTTTTGGGATAATGGTAAAAAAAAATAGAGATAAATTATTGAAATATTTATTATAAAAATAATTTTAAGGTGTAAAAATGGTTTTTAAGAATATTTAATGTATTTATAAATCAAAGAATCAAATGTTAGTAGAAATAAAGAAAAAATTTAAATAATTAATAATAATTGAGGAGAAATAATTAAAAATTAATTGATATATTTTAAATAAAGGAGACGAGAGAAAAAATTTGTTAAAATATGTTGAGAGATAGGCGAGTAATGCGAGAGTGAGACATCTCGTGAGAGAGAGAAAATGTTTTTCTCTTTTTTAGCTCGGAAAATACTTTCTCAAAAATAGCATATCAAATTCCGTTGATTAGAAATCAAATTTCATTGGCTTTTTTTCTTAAACGCAAAACAAGTATCGAAAAATGAGAAAAACAAGCTCCCGAAATTTATTTTTTTCAAAACAAACACGACTCGAGACTCGAATCTATTTTACTAAAAAAATCTACTAGGTACACAATTGTTAGACTATATTTTTTGTATCTCAAAGCAACTTTTTAGAAAAATAAATATATTATGAATTAGATTTTTTAAGATAAAAGTTAAAATTTTCAAGTTTGGATTAAATCAAAATTTTGAATTAATTTTACAAAAATAAAAAATAAAAATTTATTTTTAACCAAATATGTTTACAATTGCGGTATAAGTTAAATGTTAAAAATTAACTTTAATCAGTTTATAAAAATAATACCAATCATAAGAGAAATTTTATAATACACAAAGAGTAATTACGGACATGTACGATAATTACTTCATAAATTCACTCGAAGAGAGATAGACACATAAAAAAAATTAAAAGAGAAAACTTAAAAAAAATCATTCAAACGTAGAAACATTCTTATCACTTTGCGTGAGTTCAAATGTAATTTTTTATATATCTATTTTTTTTAATTGAGTTTATAAAATAATCGTTATATATCATCACTGCTTAATCTTTGTGTTTTAAAATTTCTCTCAATCATAATTCATTCACTTCCGAGTTTTACGCCGTCTGGGTCATAAGAGAGCCGTGGCCACTAGCCATAGGCTACTTGTGGAATGGGTTGTGGAATAGGCCCAACACCTACGGGCGAGCGCATCTTGTAGACAGACTATAGACTTGTCCACGTGGATAAAAAGGTCAGTTTAAATCATTCTGCCGTTTTGCAGCTTCCAAACTACTTTTATGAGCGCATTGTGCACTGCGATACCATCGTACCATCTGCCTTCTTCTACCTCACATTCCACAAACAGCCCTCCTCTCTGCAGCTTCAAATTTTATACAACAAAGAACGCGTTGTCCCATCATAGGCACATCTTAATCTCGTCTCGCTACCCAACTCACCTACTCAAAACAGCACACTCATTTCCATCCATGACCGACTCTAATTCCAGGCACATTCACCTTCCTCTTTTCTCATCTCTCTCTCTCTCTCTCTCTTTTAATTTAAATTGAAATTAAGTTTTCTTTTTTGGTACAGTTCTGCTACTGTGGATCCAACTTGTACTGAGATTATTGTGGTGCGTCACGGCGAGACGGCGTGGAATACTGATGGAAGAATTCAGGTTTTTATATATATATATATATACATATATATATTTTCTTTTTCTTTTTCTTTTTCTTTTCTCGAAAAAAATTGCTTTCGATAAACCAGGGTAATTAGTTTTTTTTTTTTTTGGTTCAATGATATGATTGCATTAGAATACAGTGTTATGAGGATACCTGTCGGTTGCTATGTTTTGGTAGGGGCATATAGATGTGGAATTGAATGAAGCTGGGAGAGAGCAGGCAGCTGTGGTACGAGACGACTTGTATTACATTTCGGTTTATTAGCATTAGCATTTCTTGTTCTAATGTTGGAATTATTTTCGCAACCGTTTGAAGGTGGCGGATAGACTGTCCAGGGAGTTTAAAGTCTCTGTTGTTTATTCTTCTGACTTGAAGAGAGCTTCCGAGACAGCAGAGAAAATCGCTGCTAGTTGTGGTGTTGTTGAGGTATAATACTGATGTGATGTGATGCGATTGTGGATTTGAGTTTTGGGTTTACTTTAAATATGATTTCTGTTTAGTTATTATGTTCACTAACGTAACTTGCTCTCCGGCCGGGCTTATTTTATCTACATGGCCAAGTTCAATTATATTATTTTTGTTAGTTATACCCTGATCGTCTTGAGCTTTGGATTTCAAGTGAAATCTGATCCACGATTTGAAAAGTATTGAACTTTGTGGAATGGATTTTCCATTTTTTTTCTTTTTAATTATCCAATTGAAATTCAATTACAGGTTATTAAGGATCCTGACTTACGGGAAAGACATTTGGGGGATCTTCAAGGCCTTATCTTTCGTGAAGCTGCCAAAGTCAGTACTGTGGCTTACCAGGCCTTTTTATCCCACAGAACCAGTCAAGATATTCCAGTAAGTCAGACTGAACTCTTCCTCCAAACTTTGTGATTCTTTACTGCAGTATCTCATTATTGGAAACTCCAACCTGATAGGTTAACACATTTCAACCTCATTGGCTATGAATTGGATCTTGAGTCATTCCACTGCCTACCCAAAATAATAGATACTATGTTGATACTTCTAATTGGAATGCAGCTGCCCCTCTCATGATATATATAGTGGGATAAAACAATCTAATAGCTTTCTGCTTTTTCATAAATTATGTTAGAGTCATATAGGCCATATTTTGGAGCTTCACCTAATAGCTTAGACTTTTGGGTTGAGATGGTTCTTTGACATGGTATTAGAGCCTTATTGACCAAGTGATCATAAGTTTGTGTGGGCCTGTGTAATTTTCAAGCACAAAGGGCCTTCAGTTGGAGGGATGTGTTAGAGAGTCATGTAAATCATATATTGTAGCCTCACCTAACAGCTTAAACTTTTGAATTGAGATGTTTCTTTGACAAATTAGATGCTACCATTGCATTCTTCTTTCTGTTGAAACTTTTATTTCTATTTTTCTTTGATCATTTTTTGTGAACATACAATTCGTCAAATTTGCAGAAACCACAAAACAAAGTATGTGTAAGGTTAGAATTTTTTTTTCTTGATACGGAAACAAATATTAATTATTATGACAAGCCTCTCTGGGTGCATAAGTGTACCAAACTTAACAAGAGCCTTCAATTTTCTCTATTTCTAGTGGAAAGGGTTTTTGAGTCCATTTATGAGCTATTCTTGACAATGAACATTGAATTTAACAAGAAAATAAAAGTAGAAAAAGAATAACATCATGAACAAGTCAAATATTTATAAATTTACAACTTTTTGTGATCTCATTGATTGTAGTAGTGAATTTCAGATGTTGCTACAGTATTATAACAGATTCTCTGTTCTGTTTTAATCCAAGCGATGTTTAGTTCTGTAACCTAATATATGCTAGTCATATCATTTTACCTTGGTTCTGTGTAGTTATCCCGTTGCTATGTTAAAAACCTAAATTTTGTGACATTTATTTGTTTGATGAGTTCCCTTAATTGTTTGTCTATTTGGTTAATTCTCACGGCACAGTTGTTATGGTTATTCCACAATATGTGTAATCTTCTTGTCTTTCTTACCTATCATGCTTATTTGTCGCCCCACCAAGATTTCCTCCTCTTGTCATGTCTCTTCTGAACTCATCCCACTCTTAACTCGGACATTGCTTGTGCATAACACTACGTCCTCTCCACACTTTATGACCACACCGTCCATACTTTCTAAAATATCTATACTAGGCATGTGCCATGCTCGAGGAAAGCAGCTGACCAAAAAGAAGTTAGACTACAATATGCCACATTGTCTCTCTCTCAAAGATGTTTATAAATTAAGATTAGGAAAATGAGCAAAAACAGAAGCGAAATGTATTGAAGTAATTTGAACTCTTTTGAATCTCTTTGCATAGTATGCAATGAAACTCCTCTAAAAGCCCTGGAAAGTGTGCTCAAAGGATCCCCAAAGATATTTTATCCAAAAGCAGATGCCTTGATGAAGCTTGATTCTTTAAAATTCTTGAATTTCGTTCCAAACTACTAGTTTCTCTGATTCAGTACATGTGCAGGGTGGTGGAGAAAGTCTTGATAAACTTTACCAGCGCTGCACATCTTCATTGCAGAAAATTGCTGTGAAGCATAGAGGTATGGTATCAGTAAAGAGTAACGACTTTTCGTCCATAACTTTAGTGGAAATCATTTGATAGTATGACCTTCTTATTTTCTAGTGTATGTGTCTGGAAAACATTGCATTTTAGTTGCAATCTAAATATTTATTATTGCATGTTTCGAATTGCAGGAGAGCGAGTTGTTGTGGTCACTCATGGGGGTGTCATTAGAGCACTGTACCAACGAGTTTGCCCAAATGGAAAGTCTGGAGGAAAGGTATTGAACACATCTATCAACATCTTTCACATATCTGATGGGGATCATTGGACCATAAAAACTTGGGGTGATGCTAGTCATCTCAATGAAACTGGATACCTGAAGTCTGGTTTTGGTGGGGACAAAGCATCTGGTTAGTTTCTTATCATGTGTTAGTGCTATTGTGCAATTAGTCAGTTCAATGCTTCAAGCAATGGCATGCTGGAGCTCTAAGATGAGGAAAGCCATTACAGAAGACAATGTTCACAATGCTCTCATGATCTTTCATACAATTCGGTGTCCTAATATTTTTATGACCATTTCAAATTGTGTAGAAATTAGTTCTTCAACTATGATGATTCTTAATCTGAAGCATAAAAGGGGGAATTGCACTAAGCAGGCCATCTATCTATTTCAGTATTCCTATTTTTAGCTCGTCCCATTTATAGCTTGCTTGATTCATGAATCGAAGTCGATCTTACTAATACCTTGTACCATTAATGTTCCCCAAATCATCAAGACATGAGGTTCTGTTTGGGGAATAGAGAGACCTGGGGATGGGTTTTCATTCCTTTATATGGATGGATGTGTTTGGTAACAAGGAGGGAGAAGTGGGGATGGTAATGGGAAAAGGAGTGGGTATAATGTTGCACTGTAATTTTGTTCCCCGCCATGTACAATTAACTAACTAATATACTAAAACAAAATGGAAAAACATTATGCACATTACTATTCATTCACTGTTAACACATTCATATTTCAGTAATCATTCACTTTTCATTACCTTTAAAATCATTATTCATTCACTGTGCATTTATACTGTTTGCCCACAAACTAATATACTAAAATAAAATGGAAAAACATTGTGTACATTACTATTTATTTATTGTTTACACATTCATATTTTACTATTTATTCATTGTTTGCAAGCGTATATTTTACTATTCACTCATTGTGCATTATCTCTAAAATCAATATTCATTCATTGTGCATTTATATTATTTGTCCGTAAACTAATATACTAAAACAAAATGAAAAAACACTATGCATATTGTTATTCATTGATCTGTTTACACACTAATATTTCACTATTCATTAACCGATCATTAGCTCTAAAGTCAATACTCATTAATGGTCCATTTATGTTGTTTGCCCACAAACTAATATTCTAAGACAAAATGAAAAACATTGTGCACATTATTATTCAATTACTCGTTTGCACACTCATATTTCACCATTCATTCACTATTCGCACTCACATTTTACTATTCATTCACTATTTACACACTTGTATTTTATTATGAATTCACGGTTCATTAACTCTAAAATCAATATTCATTCATTGTGCATTTACATTGTTTGTCCATAAATGTTCACTTTGGTCCCTTGTTTTTTAACAATATTTTTTCGGTATGCAATTTTATTTTTGGTTTGTTTTGGTCATTGCATTCTAAAAGGAGAGAGAAATGATGAAGAGAGAATAGAGGAGAGAGAGACGGTTGACAAGGCCAATTTTGGCCACCCTTCAGTTGATATTGCCACCACTTTGTTCGTCTCAAAATGTAGAATATGTTTGTGGTGGTGGTAAGTAATGAAGTAGTCGGAGGAGGTAGATCGGATGTTTGAAAATATTTTGAATTTTTTTTATTTTGATTTGAATTTTTGTGTTTTGTGTTAATTAAAATGGTTTTTGACGTTCTAAATGATTTTTTTGTTGTCATTTCGGTGATTTTAAAGTGTTTTTGGACAAAAATGAAGCTAAATTTGGTTTTAGGAGGCCGTAAATAATAAAACCCAATTTTGCGACGACATTTCGATGAAATCGATCGTTAAGAATTGCAAAGGTTGTTGGAAAAGAAAACTAGTCATTTTTTTTTTTCAGCCTAAGCCTCGTATGGGCTTGGTCCTTAGTTTTTTACTTTTTTATTTCCTAATTAAAAATTTTTAGGTAAAAATTATGGAACATTATGCATTATTATTTTTGTAACAGGTGGTTACGGGTTCAAATCTTAACCGACTAGTTTTGCTAAAAGACTTGGGTATGTGAGTTAAAAAAAAATAGTATAATATAAAATAAAATAAAGGCTCGTGGAAAAAAATATATATCAAGATAATTAAAAAAAGTTCATTTTTCAGTAGGAAAAAAGAAGAAGAACATTTACAAGTCTCGTTTGTTGCATGCATATATATATATGCTAACTAGAAGCACAATTCAACAAAAATGGGAAAAAAACTAGCTAATGTTTATTCCTTCATTGTATTGAAGCATTCAATTTTGGTTTTTCCATAGTATTTGACAAGAAAAAAACTTCACCTTTAATTTTATTATGATCTACTAATATTTACAACATGTTTGACAAGGGAAATTTTAGAAAAAAGAAAAAGGAAGACATGGAAGTACATTTTATTTTTGGAGGTAAAATGAAAATGCAAGGAAGTAAAATAAGGATTTTTTTTTGCTTTTAGCCTTCAAAAGGAAATCTCTTCGATGTAGACAAACAATGAGGATAAAGTTTAATTCAAATAATTGATATTCATTTTAATCTTGGCTTTAAGTTTAACCTTACTTGCATGAAAAAAAAATAAAAGACATTATATATGTTCGATTTTTTCTCTAAAATTAATTAAGTAATTTAGCTAATTTTATTATGTATTAATTTATATTATTATTATTAATATTATTTGGTTTTGGCATGTGTCTAAACTAAAAAACAAATGAAATGGATTAAACTTGGACATCGTCCAACACAAAGCTTTGGGTCACATAAGGATAGACATGGGCATTCTAACAAGGTTGATATTCATGTCTTGTCTTTGAAATGCATTAAAGATATTGATTTGGTGGGTTCGGAGTAGGATTCGTTAAAAAAGAAAGAGCTAATTCTTATTTTTTTAACATTTGTTAGCAAGTTAAGCGATGTAGCTTTAAACTAATAATAATAATAAATAAATAAAAAGGCATAATTTCTTTGAGTCAAATTTGACTATCCAAACATAAACGACATGGCATAATCCTAGCAGTTAAAGATTATCCTCATTTTACTATATATAAATATCAATCTCACATAATTACGAAGGGGTTTGAACTTGTTGATCTAGATAAAAAAAACCTCTCTCTCTCTCTCTCTCTCTCTTAAAAATATTTCACTCACATTCTAGACATCATCTAAAGCTCCATATGTTTGGACTTTGACCACATGCATGTTTAACACTCTTACTTATGTCTTGATTGCACTACTTACTCCTCACATGCATCTCACTACTTGCATCCATTTTACTTGGTTGAGTGATCGTTGCTTCTATAAGTTACAATACCATCTCTCTATATGTTACTCTATTTACCTAATCTAAGACACCAATAGCTTTTAAGACTGATCCACATATGCATTGTTCTTGAGAATCATAACCGATGAGATTATTACTATCGTTAAGCATGAATTCCTTATTGATATGTCTCCTCACTTGAATTGCTACATTACTATTAGATCTTAACCAAGCTAAAAAAGAAAATGATAGTCAATATATTTAGGTAAATTTTTAGATAAGGATTGAAGGGTGACAAGACATCTAGCATTGCGCTTAGAAGGTTATTTTTGTCAAGCAAATTCTCTATTTATACTTAGCTAATTTTTTAAAACAAATTCGATTACCAACACAAAAAATGATGGCCACAATATGACTTAACAAATGAATACACACTTAGCTATTGAAATTTGTTATTATATTGGTCCCTTCTAAAAGTGATAAGAAAAATTCTAAGACCAATGTGTCGTGTACCCTAGTCGATGATGCTAAGTAATTAAATATGCCCAAACATATAAGCATAGTAGAAATTAATAGGATACATACCTGCTACCATTATTGATTAAGTTCTCAAAATATTAAGAAAGAAAATCTAGAGTCGTCAAAGAGAGAGCTTTCTAGTCTATGCCAATACTTTAAAGTTTTGTGTGTCGATAGAAAACATGCTTTACTTAATATTTATATGGTTAGACTAAAGAACCTTTCTTTAACCTACTTTTGCACCTCCATCCATTATGGATGTGCCTAACCTACCACTAGAGTCTAATAGGCTTTAAGTCTTTAAATTGTCATTTATAGATTTAAAACAAAGCATAACACATGGGCCACACTACAAAAATATTTCTCACATCCTCTCACTTGGCCCATATGGTACTATCCGAAAATGACAATTTCTTTATAGAGTCGAGAATGACTAGTTAGTGAAAACACTCACACTTAGATTAAAAATACAACATATGAATCATAGCGTTCATGCTTTATAACTAAGCATTTCCTTCCATATATTACAATATATACATCTTTAAAACAAACACTTAATGAGCAAATAAACTTTATAAATGAACGTCTAATAAGTCATTCGAGTCGAACTTTATATATCAAAATGAATGTAAAAATAATATTTTATGTGCACAAAAATCACATCGGTCTCTAAAAAACTTAAAAAATATCTAAACAATCAATAAAAAGAAAATGAAATCAAATAATAAATGGGTTAACTAGACCTATATGATCTACTTGATCTCTATATTGTTTTGTCGGTAATGCTTTAGTCATAGGATCTACAATCATTAGCTCGGTGCTAATTTGATTAATGAGCACTTCATATTCCTTCACTTTCTCTCTCACAATGAAATACTTTATGTCGATATGCTTATTTCGAGCTTCCATTTTTATTATTCTTAGAGAAGAAAACTATAGTCAAATTATCAAAATAAATCGATAATTTTTAGACTAGAAATGAAGTTTCTTAACCAAATAGCTCGTGTTATTGCTTCATAGCATGCAATGAATTCTCGCTTCCATAGTAGCAAAGCAATAATAGTTTGCTTAGTGCTTCTCTAAGACATAACTCCTCTAGTAAGAAGAAAAATGTATTCGAAGTATAATTTTTTATGTCCGGACAACTAGTAAAATCCAAATCGAATGAACAATCACCTCAAGGTGATTAGTGTATCTTAAGTAAGTCTATAATCCTTGATTCCTTATAGATACTTTATCTAAAGTAGAGAGACACATCAGTTTTAGATCCTGTAAAACCCGGAGACATTAGCTTGTCCGTGAAACACTTAAACCATTGACAAAGAGCTTGTTTCAAGCCATATAGGGACTTCTTAAGTTTGTAAACGTGTGTGGGTCTAGTTTGGTCAACAAACCCATTTGGATGTGACATATAAACCACTTTATCTAGTGGATCATAAAGAAAAGCATTAGATATGTCTAATTGCTCAACCCTCTAACTCATAGAAATAGCTATGGAAAGAATCAACCATAATGTAACAAGTTTGATAACAAGACTATAAGTGTCTATAAAATCAACCTCGGGGCATTGGTTGAATCCCTATACAATCAATCATGCATTGTATCGATCAATCGACCCATCCAAGTTTTTTTTCACGTTGTAAATCCATTTATTACCAATCACATTGTAAGTGGGATGATAAGGAACAAGATTCCATCCAAGTTTTTTTTCACTCGTAAATTCATTTATTACCAATCTCATTGTAAGTAGGATGATAAGGAATAAGATTTCATATGTCATTCACTAACAATGCTCGGAGTTCATCGGCCATTACTTCATTCCATTTGGGATCCGTGTTGGCTTGCAAGTATGATGATAGGGCGGTTAAAAAGAATATGATGGAGTATGTGTGAAGCTTTAGGCTATTTGTTTTTGCATAGATGACCATGGGATGCTTAGGGGCTACAACTTACGATGGATTGAATTTGGTAAGATGGTGGTTAGAAGATGCAAAGGAAGTGGATATGGATGGAGGTCGTGAAAGGTGGGCGGAAGAGATAGGAGTCGTTCTCATGAAGTTAGATTGAGATTTCTTGACTAGAGTTATAAGGATAGACTTTGATTGAGGAGATTAAGGTATGGGTGGTGGGCTAGAAGATGGAGGTACGACCGGTAAGTTGGTGAATCGAGATCTACCACATTTAGTAGGTGTGGCTTTAGAGTGGGTTGTTAATGATGGTACTCTAACATTTATGGAAGTAGATAATGGGATATTTAAAGAAGATGATGACTGATACCTAATATAGGGTAGATAGCTCATAAGATTAATTTGAAAAGACGGTAGAGGAAGAATATAGGTTTGTGGAAATATAGTATCAAATTGAAGAGTTGGGCTTCGGCTTGTTGGGGTAGGAGGAAGTTGCTAGTTTACGTCCGGTGGGGCTATATTATTTAGGATGGGGCTGGATGGAAGTGAGGTGAGTTTAATAAGAACGTTTGGGCTATTGATTAGTTGGGAAAGTGTTATCTTTGTAAAAGGGAGCTGGTTGGGCCGATTGGAGGTGGATAAGGTCTGTTGGATTTTTAAAAACGAGTTGATCGAAGTCTGTTTGAAAGGGGGATGGTTTGCTAAAAATTTAAATGAGAGGTGGTATATTTTTGTGATATAAGTACGAGTGCCATAGTTTAGATGTGAAGATGGAACTGGTGTAGCGAAGTCCCTATCTTAAATGGATTATGTCGCACGGATGAGCTTGGATTTGACGAAGCGAGAGTAAAAACTCGTTCATCAAATAAAACATGACATGAGATAAAAATTTTTTTGCTTAAAATGGAATAAAAAATATCCCTTATGAACTTTGCTGTAACCTAAGAAAATATAAACGGAAGAACGTGAGGCAATTTTATGTTTATCGTAGAGGCATAACTAAGGATAACACAAACAACCGAAAACTTTAAGTTCTTTGTACAGTGGGTGTGTTCCAAAGAGAGTGTAGTGAGGTGAGTTATTTTGTAAGTGGCGTGTGGGAAGTCAATTTATGGAATTAACAAATGTATTAAAGGCATAGGTTCGAAGGATAGAAGAATAGAGGCATGATGGAGAAGGGCTAGTCTAGTTTCAACTATATGTTGATGTTTGCACTCGACACAACCATTTTGTTCGGTGTTTTTAGACAATCAATTCTCTAAGAGATGCTATTTTTAGTCGGATATTTGATTAATGCTTGATACTCACCACCTTAGTTATATTGGAATTGTTTAATTGGTTTTCTAAAAAAAATTCAACTAGATGCCTAAACTTAATCAAAGTGCTAAGAACTTCGATTTATAATGAAGGAAAACAACCAATAATATTTGCTAAAATGATCATAAAAAAGCACATAATAAGAGTAACCATCAATTGAGGGTACGGGAAAAGGACCCCAAACATCATAACATACTAAGTCTACTTGGTTCGTTAGCTAAAAAAACGGATCGAGGAAACAATAACTTATGAATCTTGCTTACACTATAAGCATGACATAAGGAAGAACCTTTGGGCGAAGGAATATGGATTCTAGAGTGTTTTAAGGCTTGATAAACGATCTTGGTGGATGTATGACCAAAGTAAGCATTCCAAGTGGACATAGTAATATTGTGAGCTTGAATAGAAGGGTGGCAAACTAGGGTAGTATTTGAGGAAATTGTGTAGAGCCCATTGTCAAGTAAGTCAACTGTGGAGAATTTCTTATGTAGCCAAGTCCTTTACCAAAAATTTGTCAAGAAAAAAATTCAATAAAGCAATAATTATTTTTGGTAAAGCTACTAATAGATAAAAGATTTTGACTACTTGAAGGAACATGCAAAATATTATGGAGGTAAAAAGTACGATTTTGAGTTTGGAAGGGAGAAAAACCAATACGAGAGTTAGAAACATGTTTACCATCGATTAGTTGGACTTCATCCAAACTAGAGTACTCATTGTGAATGGCAAGATTTTTCAAATGCACTCGTCATATGATGAGTAGCACCTATGTCCATAATTTATTGAGAGTTGGGTGTGACGGAGGTGGAATGACCAAGGTGAGAGAAAGGCTTTAGTTGGCGAGTAGATTAGCATGATTTTAGGGATGGACATACATTTACAAGGTGACCACTACCTTTACAATTATAGCATACCACATTACTGGAATCAAAGTTCATATCATGAGGGGGTCTTAGGCGAGAACCATGTGTGAAAAGACACCCACCAAAACATCATCGACCACGAGTCGAGTATCGACGGCTAGCATAGTGAATTGAAATTGGAACTTCTATAAGCTGAATAGTGTCATGAAGTTGAAATTCTTCACCGAGAGCAAGACCATACAAGTTCTCATAAGACACGGCCTCATGATGAGATTCAATAGCCCATACAAGGGCCTATAGGGAGGATCAAAGTCACGGAGTAAGACTTGAACAAGGTCATCCATAGTAATTGGAGAGCCAAGAGAGTGAAAGACATCAAAGATGGCTTTTCCATGTTGAAAGTACTACCGAACAAATTCAATTGTCCTTTGGACAAGTCGATAAAGATTGCTTTTTAGATGATTAATTTGGGTTCTAATGACGGAACCATAAGCGACTAACAATTTTATCCAAGCCTCTCGAGTCGTAGAGGCCCCAACAACAAGTGGTGGAACAACCTTTGCTAGAGAACCGACGAATCCGAGTGAACGAGTTGATCATGACGTTCCCGGTTTGCAAAAGTTGGATTAGGTTCATTGTTGTCAAGAGTAGGATAGGTTGGAGGATAAGATCCATCAACATGATGAAGGAGACCATGACAATGTAAAAGAGGTTAAAGCTATGTTTGCCATAGGATAAAGTTGGTGGAAGAAGTTGGTAGAAGTAAGTTTAAGGATGGATGGGTTATAGAGATTAGGAAAAGATGGTGGAATGGCGAGCTGATGTAGAGGGAGTAGACAACAAAAGATTCGATCCGATGGGGTAGTAAATGTCGCCATGATGAGAAGAGAAAAAAATATTGTGGACTATTAAGTCTCTAAGTGGTTCGATGCCATGAAAGAGTTTATTATCTCACATGTTATACTCGATTACATAGGTCAATATATATATCGACTTGTTCCAACTCAAGATAGCTACGGAGAAATATACGGTAACTATAACAAGTATAATCATAATAAACTTCTACTAGTTACAAGAGGTAAACTAGCAGGAAGTAAAGTGGTAGTTTAAGGAAGTGTAATGCCAATAAAAGTATACCGACAATAGTTATCCTTATCATATCCCTAGCCTTTTAGCTTTTCCCGGTTCTAGCAATTCTTGCCCCGCAAAGATGGACAAATGGTTGGAGCTACATGCAGGGGTGTTCATTATTCGGTTAAAACGAAATACCGAACCGAACCGAACCGAATTAACAATTTCGGTTCGGTTTTTAAAAAAATAAAAAAACCGAAACCAAAAACCGAAATTATTTCGATTCGGTTCGGTTTTTTTTTTCAAATTCGGTTTCCACCGAAAACCGAATTAGTTTTTTTTTTTAAACACATACTCAAACTCTTTTTTAAAAAAAAAAAAATCAAAGAGGCACCAACCTATGGGTTTAACTAAAAGAACAATAGCTTTAATGATTTTTTTTCTACTTAAAATAGAAATATTTTTCATTAATTATTTATTGAAATAAAAAATAATTGATTATATTATATTGACTCACAAAAAAGTAAAAAAAAAGACTCGATAAAGAAATTCTTTATGAAAACACAAATTTATAGGTGAATCCTAAAACCTCATGAAAAAAAAATTGTCTCCTTGTATTAAAATTGGCACAAACATAAATTAAAAATTGAATTTTTCATATTACATATTCAAAAATAAAATATGCACAAAATAAATAGATTAAAAAAAAGAATATGAAAAATTAATAAAAAAACTAATTATAGTGTGATTGAAAAAATAGTGAGAAGCCCAACTAATATAGTTTATAATATAAATAGAAACATATTTATTATAGAAAAATAATAATAATCATACATGATTTTCTTATAAAATCAAATGTGAAATATACAATATTTGATTATGCAAGTTTGATATTTTAAAAGCAAAATAATTCGATTTTTAGAAAAAAATGCAAAAAAAAAAAATACAAAAAAAAATCGATTTTTAACCAAAAACCGAACCGAAAAAATTTAGTTTTTAATTGAAAAACCAAACAACAATTCGGTTCGGTTTCAGTTTTTGTTTTAGCCAATTTGATTAACCGAAAACAAAAAAAAACATCGAAATCAAATCAAAAAACTAAATGAACACCCCTAGCTACATGGCCTGATTGATCATTCATTGTTATCGTCCCCGTTGTAGGAGAGCGAGAGATCATCGTACAAGCAATTTGCTTGATGAAAGGTCTTGGAGAACAATACTGAACCCTTTTATGATCTATCAACATCTTTATCGTATCTGATGATGCAAGTGAGTGACAATAAAAATTTGAGTGATGTTAGTGATCACTGCTCGAATAAAGTAGGATCCTCGAGGTCTGTTTTTCCTCTTGTTTGTGGCCTCTTCAAGAAGGTGGAGGAAATAATTTTGCATCATGGAAAACACTGTTCTCATGACCTATGGTGTCTGATAGGCTCTTTGTCAGAAAGCAGTATCGTTGGGACCATACTAAACTGTGCAAAAATTAATTCTTCATGCCATTTTATAATTTTAATCAAAGAAAAGGTAAATTGCCAGTCAACTTGTAGCTCAATTGGTATCCATGTCCTCCTCCCTAAAGAGGTCTCAGGTTCGCAAATCGTTTAGAATCCAGTTACACTAATTTGATGCTAAGCTAGCTGAATAGTAGTCTTTCAGCTGCATGAACATGTATTTACCAAATAAATTACAGACAAGTAAATATACCATGATCCTTTGCTGTGTTCACTGTACATGCAGGTGAGCCCAATGGACTGATAAGGACCTATGTTGCCTAATGTGAAACATTGGCTGAAGTTGCTTGACCCTGACGTTTCAGCTGCACCACATGGCATTTAATTAACATGATGGCAATATTACAAGCATAAGATACAGCTCACAGAGATATTTAACAGAGAGCAACTTGAAAAACCAGTGCCTTGGATTTCAAGCATTCTCAGTCATGTTACCGTATCTACTTATATTATTTTTTAGTTATGCCAGCAGTTTTATTCTGCATAAAATTTACCCTTTTTTCTTATTTTTTTTCTACAAGCCGAAATTAAAATCGTTGAACGCATTGTGTTTGCTGGAAGCTATCTGCTTCTATTGGATATCATTCCCCAATTAGAAAGGTTCT